GTGGCTGATGGAGGCTGGAGAGCTGGGCTGTGGTGCTGCTGGAGTGGGATTTCCTCTGACCCGCAACAGGAATTGGTTTGCCTGTCGGGTGTGATGACCAGCTGTCCCACTGAGCCCTTCTTTAATGATTAAGAGGCTTCCAAGTGGCTTTAGAAATAGCTTAAAGATTGTATAGCATGTGGGCTGGGTTGCAGAGGGTTGCGTTGGCAGCACTGAGGCAGGCAGAGGAAAGATCACGTCAGGTGTGTGTCTTACTCAGGTTTTACACCATTCTGTCAGTGTAAAGCATCTCTGAAATAGGTGTAAATGAAACTCTTGCTTTAGGGCTTGATGTTTCAGACTTTACCACGTTAATTGCTGGGGGAAGGGTCGTGTCCAAAGGGTCTGGGAACGCCATCGGAGGCGAGGTGGCAGCAAGGAAATACCAGCCAGGGGAGCAGCGGGTCATGGTCCGGAGGGAGCTGTACAGCCAAGTGCTGCCTGGAGGAGGCTTAGAGTCAGGAGGGGTGAAACTGTCTCTGTTTCCTTGAGCTCCCCGAAGTGTGACTCTGGAAGTCTTTTGAAAATAAGTGGGACTGAACCCCTTGAGCAAACTTTCCATTAATAGGAAAACAGGAAACGGAATTCAAGAGTTGCCTAGACCATCTCCTTGCCCAGAGGAGGAACTAGTCCAGCTTGGATAGTCAAGTAGCAGATATTTTTTTTTATCCTAACTGCCCTGCTCCTTGAACAAAGAGATTGGCATTGGCTCAGAGAGCTGTAGAGATCTACCTCTGAGTGCTTTCTGGATGAGACTCAGTGATTAATTGAAGAGAATGATGCACTCAGCTGTAGAAAGGTAGAAGGTTGGAGACTGGGATCCTGCTATTGACCCTCTACATCTGGACAAACTGCTGCCTATTTCCATCAGTTTTCTCCCTCATTTTCTTCTACCTCATTTAATCCCTCCCACAGTGTCCTGAGGTCATTAGATTGGAAATGCCAAGCGCAGTTTGAGGCAGGTACGTGGCATTCATTAACTCCAGCTGGAAGCCAGGCAAAACGTAATTTGATAAGAATGTATTTGGGAAAGAGCCATTACCAGGATTCATAGGTGCCCATCAGCCAGCGAACACTGGTGTGGTGTTAATGAGTGTGCTTCTGAAGCCAGCTGGACTGTTGCTGGTGATGTCAGTGAAGTCCTGATTGCATCCAAAATCCTTAATCTGACTTATTTACAGTGCTTATAAGCAAACACCACGCACGTGGTATGTGGAGAGGATGTGGGAGCCAGTAGGATTGAGGTTGGAGGAAGAACATGACACATCTGACTTTGCTATTTAAAACTATTCCATTTTTAGCCAGTTTAGTTGGAGTCCTTATACCCTTTAGTCTGGCAATGGTACGCCTTCAGCCTTCACTGGAAAAGGGAGTGTAATTGCCATCCTCAGCATGAGGATTTCTGAGAAATTTCTGTTCTTGCTGATTCTACAGATTTGTTACAAAGAACTGTGAAAATAACTGACAAACAGCAGATGTTGTTTGGGGAATTTATTCCATATCCTCTCCCCTGCCCTCGCTGTCGGCTCACGCGCAGTATGGCTCGCTAAACCACGGCCCGGCAGCGTCTGTCATCCAGCTCACAAAGTGTCAGTGAACTCCACGAGTACCCACATGTAGAAGATTTGTGCCCTGATACAGCGGACCGTATTGCCGCTCATGTTGCACATCAGCCTTGCTGCCTTTAGAAACCAGACTGAGTCTCCTACAGCCTCCAAAGGGGGTTGGCAGTGACAAAACAAAGGAGGAAATGACTCTTTCTGTGGGCTTTCTTTACCGCTGCAGAGGAGATGCAAAGGTCCCAGTTATTTGCTGATCGTTAACATCTCTGGCCTTGCACCATCCCCTTTGCTGCATTTTTTAGGAAACGGGGCTGCTGTCTTGTGATCCCCCCGTCAGCCACAGGCAAGAGACTGTGTCCCTGCTCTGTCAAAGGATAATGGAATGCTTTTCCTTGAAAAACACCGAATTCCCCTCCCTTCCCCAGACATGGAATGAGATCCTTTTCAACATCTACCGTATAAGCTTTATTATCACGCTGGATACTACTTTGCCTTTAGTGTAAATAGTTGGGTTTGCATCTTTTTGGCTCATCAGCCGCATCAGCGAGTGGTGTCAGCTGGACTGGCTGCTGTAATGCATGGCTCACTCTTGTATTACCAGTGTCCTGGGGAAATGAGATGTCCAGCACACGTATTTGGTTTCCATTTGTGTACATTTTTTCTTAGTAAGTTCATTTCTTTGAGATATTTCCTGTTTCTGTCTTTTATGCCTATTTAAGAGCATATTGCTCCTATTTAAGCCTTTGAAAGAATGAAACATCCTATTTTTAACATCAAGTAATCTCTAAGGTTCTTGCCTGCAATGGGTTTTCTCACTTTGCCTTATTCTAGTCATAAGGTCTGTGCTGAAGACAACTGACGGTCTGAATCCCAGCGCTTGCCTTTGAGGTTTCGTTTGTGAGTTAAGACATTGCAGAACTCCAGGATTTATTGGTTTGTTTCACCAGTTCTTCTCCAAGAGCGTCTTCCGCTGTGTCTGAGTGATAGCTCTGCTGATGTGGGTGTTTCAGGTATATTGGTTGATCAGATGAGCAGTTCTCCAGATTTTTTTGTTTCCAAAGTTGGCAGGTTTGCAGTTGACCCAAAACGTGTGTTCCAAAGCTCTCCTCGCTTTCTGGCCACATTTCTGGTTTGTTTCTGGAGCTTTGAGGTGTGTTGTCTTCAATTCCCTCCATTGCAAGGCTGCAGCAGTGGTGGTGAGTGACAGAAGCCAAGGGAGAGGGATATGGCTCTTGCTAAATATGGACCCGGGAATCTCATGCCCCTCAGGCAGGAACTGTGGGATGATTCATGTCTGTGTGTTATTTGTACAGTGCACAGTCGTATCCATATTCGATCCATGATATTATCCTAATCCATGGGAAGCTTTCTGTATCTTGGGTAATGCCCAGCTTATGGGCAGCACAGGGTATTACCTGACTCCAGCGCTACGTGCAGCTTCCGTAAGGGTTGGAGACATATAACCTCTGTGTTGTTTCTAACTCTGTCGCACCTTGCAGTATTATACAATGTAGTGTGCTGCCTTCCTGCATGGCTTTGTGGTTTGGTCTGTTAGGGTACATAAAACTGGCTTCACAGAGTCGAGCTGTTGTCTCCTTCTGAGAGGAGCAGGAGGTTTGCTGGTTGCTGGAGGCCGCGAGGAGGGAAACCTGAGTTGCAGGTTGTCTTCCTACAGCTCCTGCAAAGATGGATGAAGGGTTTGGGAATGCGAAGGGCCAAATGACTCTTCAGTTGTTCACTGTAGTGACAGCAGTATAAACCTCTGCTGAAGTCTGCCAAGAACTCATCTTTAAGGAGAGGGGGAAGACTTGCACCCATAGCTCAGCCTGTTAAGTGTTCATTGATGACATCTTTTGCATTACGCACATTCAAAAGCAGTTTCTAAAACATTGCAGGTGTTGGTCAGACCCCTGTGAGTGAGAATTCGGGTGTGCAGGGGTGTTTCTGGCTGGTAGCCCTCAAAGGGCACTCACTGCTAGCTGTCTGTTGTTTGTGCTGGGGAGGTGTGTGTGGCGTTCGGCGCAGGTCTGGCTCTGCATCTACGGTGAGGTATCGCGCCGCATCTGTTTTGTTTGAAAGCTGTGACCTAGTACGGAAAAGAACATGGAGGCTCAAAAAAACCCCCGTAACGTACCACACTTGGTGAACCCAGGAAAGTTTATCAGTAAAGGAGAAGTTGTCAGTAAAACTGGATTTTATTTGTCTAGGCTCTTGTACGCTGCTTATCACTACGGCATGAGGGTGCTTTGCCATCACCCGTTCAGTAATGTGACTGATGTGTCACATGTTGTTTATTCCTCCTCCTCCCGGAGGAAGGCACGGTGCTCCATGCAGTGCCTTGGGAGGGTGTTTCACGGGTGGCGGTGCGCCGGCCGGAGGCAGGTCAGGGCAACACGTACCACGCTTGGAGCGGAGCGCCATAACGCCGGTGACGGTGTTTCCTTCTGGAGGGTTTCTCCTCTTACTCACCTGTATCCCATAGTGTCGCGCGGCGGAGAGTTAAGGCGAAGTTGTGTTTCCACGTGCTTCAAATTTGTGATGTAGTTTTTTGGAAGGGAAGGCCGGAAGAGTCACCGTGTCCGTGCTGACACCCGTTCCCTTCAGTGGGATTTCTCTCCGGGACCTGCTCGCTCGGGCCTCCGTTGCGTTTTCTCTAAGAAAGCCCTGGAAGCGTCGAGGCCGGCTTTCTCCCGGCCGCTCTCACACGGGAGGTGCCGCTCGGGTCCCCCTCCCGGCCCGGCGGGGCCGCCTCGCTCCGCGTCCGCGGGGCCGGTGTGCCACGAAGCGTCCCGGGCGGGCGGGTGCCCGCTGGTGCCATCGACCCCCG